TCTCTTTCATTATCCAAGCATTGAAAGATTCAGTATGGTTTATTGTTATGTTGTCCCATCTTTTGTATGAAAATCTTGCTAAGATCCAATGATCTATATCCCTATTTGTTTTAATCATCTTGCTAACTGTGCGGAGAAAATCATCAAATGACCCATAGCAACATGAAATTCTATTTCCAACCTTGCATATGCAATATTGTCCAGCAACTTAAGTGCATCTTCTTTGGTTATCCTATCAATCTTTTGCATGCCTCTATTAATTTTTATAAATTTGCAGCTGTAATTTTTTTTGACATGATGATAACAAAAATCATGTTGATTACCATCAAATATTGCATGCACTGTACCAATAATAGCATTATGTCTATCTGACATTATAGTCAATTGAACTTGGTGTGTGATCTCTCTCATATTTTCAAGAAACCAAGCCTAATTATAATATGTTTTTCACCTACTATTGCATAAGTCAAAGGGAATAAGTCATTATTTGTATCATCTGTAGAAGCTGCTAGCAAAGTCCCCTTATATGGACCACTTAAATGACTTCCATTAATAAATAAAATTGGATGAGCACCTTAGAGAAACCCTTTAATGTAGCATCCATATGCAATAAGAAGTCTATCAAATCTGTAATTTATTGAGGCAACCCACATTGCAACTGTGTCTTGGTTCATCTCCTTTAATTTCTCACAAAGTCATGGGATCAAAATGTATGATTGTTGTGAAAGCCCATGTATTTCCTTCAATGCTCTATCTTTTCCCTTCAAAGCTTGCCGATATGTGAGATTTAACCCATATTCTTTGTAGAAGTCTTGTTTAATCTCATTTGAAGTTTTCTCCACATTTTCCCTTATAGCATCAATGATAATTGATGATGTCAATCTTTAGCTAGCCTTTTACTTTAATAGGAGGTTGTCTTGAGTAAAATGCATGTGTTCGTTGTAAAATTTTTTCACACACAATATAGAGGCTGTCTTTCCAATAACATAAGCTGATATCTTTCATTTACAACCATTAATATTGCATTTGACAATCATCTTCTTAGGATCGTTTCTCACAAATATGTAACCAAACCTACGAGCAAGGCTGTATTTATACAATGCTTTCCTGAATACAATTGCATCATCAAATGTCTGGCCAATGTCCATAAATAAATCCTTTCATTTTATTGAATTAACCTGAGGCAATGGTGCAAGAATATTTTGTGTTGAACATGACAAAGAGGGTGATATACTTTCAAGCTCTCCCCTATAGGGAGATCCTGGCAGTGACCATGGTAACAAATCCTCCATCCTACATTCACAATTACTCATAGGTCAATATAAATGGTAATTAAACTAATTAAACACACAAATAACTAAGAAGAACAACTTACTCCATTGAATAATCCATTGCTCCATGTATTTCATTATCATTTGTCTCAACATACACATATGCTAACTCATCATTATATTTTATCTAATGTCGTACTCCCTTGTCGTCTAACAGATCTATGTATATGTTTTTACTAAACTTTATTATAAATTTTAAGTCAACAGCACAACTTTTAACTCCTGTCACTGATGACACCAACCTCAATGGCTCTTCATGATTTATGCCTTTTCTAATCAATTTAGAAATTAATCTCCAATCTTCATAAGTCATCTTTCCTTGTGAATTTTCTACAAAATGTCCATTAACATGAAGATAACAAAATACTTCTTTTGCTTAAGTACTTGTCATATGGGAAAGAAACCTAAAATAACTACAACCAACATATAAATTTATTACTTCATAACTATTCGTTCCATTATCCCAACCATGACTGTAAAAATTCAGCATTCATATTGCATTTTTCAACATTCACGCACTTTTCAACACATATTAGAAAAATTCAGCATCCATGTTACATCTTTCTTGTTTTTCACTCCTTAACTTTTTTCAATTGTGTCGTTCTCAGAAATCATTTATTGTATATGTATATATATATATATATATATAGTCTATTAATCAATAAAAAGATTACTTTTTTCCCTAGGGTATAAAAGAAAGAGAAATGGTGCATGATAACGTTTGCAAAGACTAAAACATTCTTTGTCTGCGTGCATGACAGAGGATGTGTGTAAAAGAAGAAAACAGAGCAATGAAAGAGAAATGGAAGAAGATGCAAATTTCTCTTACGTGCATGACTGAGGACAAAATGTAAGAGAAGCAATACATGTAATTACTCATTAGAAGATGATTATACACTCCACTAATTTTTTTCTAATATTTTCAACAGACGAGAGCACATCCTATTAGAATTTTTTCGCCAAAAAACAAGAAAACAGAGCACACGAGATGAGCTTCTTTCCTGTTACCTTTTAGTATTTAGTGAGGGGGCAATTTTGTAAAGTTAGCTTTGTTTTTTATCCCATAGTCTTTAATTGAGATTTCTATATTTCAGGATCCTTAATTAAAATTAATGTCTTTAGAGGGTCTTTAATTGTCATTTTTCTTAAATCCAAACTCTGATTTGACTGTGGATTTTTGTTTTTTTTGTTTTGGGGCTCTTTTTACTTTCAGTACACACACTTGATTAAAATACAACAGTATGCATGTGAATTATATTAGTAAGTATGGCATCATGAAAAGGGCATCATACAAATATGAGAAGAAACAAAGATTAGTAGAGAATTGATTTAATGATCGATCAGTACCAGAAAGAAAATGTTTATCAAGTTAAAATATGTCTTCCTTTTTGGCATCAAGGCTCCATAGAGCGTCCAGATGCGGCTTCGTGAGGATGAAAGAGCTTTAAAACGTATTAGCAAAAAGTGAAACAAGAATGCAGGAGTTTCATGTTGTTCCGGCTTGCACCTGAACATCAATTGAGTCTTCATTCTTCAGATTTAAGTTTTGAAATTTTGACGTCATGGTGCTCAAGTTAAAGCAATAATCTTTCGACCGTTTCGCCAACCATTCTGCAATTAACCCCCCCTCTCTCTCTCGCTATATAAATGAGCTCGGTATGATTAGTCAATAAATAGGGAAATTGTAACTTTTTTAAAAAAAAAATTACATTTGAGGGATTTAATATTTTAACCGCCTCAAATGCTCACAATGTTGATCTTGTTATCTTGCATTCTTCCTATTTTAAGCTTGCAAAGGTATAAAATAATCTAACAACTACTTAAAAATCTGTTTGTTTAAAATTAAAAAATAAGTTATTTTTAAATAACGTAAAAATTTTACAAAAAGAGATTTTTCTAAAGATTTTACAAAAACAGATGTTATTTTATATTTGTTTACAATAATAAAAAATATTATCGGTTAGTTATTTTTAGATTTTATTATATCATTTTTTTGTTTTATAAAAATAATTTATTATTTAATTATTTTAAAATTTTATAATATTTTCATATATCCTAATTTTTTTCAAAAATATTATTTTTAAAATTATTCAAAATAGCTTATTAAAATAATAAAAAAAATATATTTTTTAAATTCTGATTATTTTTTAAAGTTTAAAAAAATATAATTAAAACTCACAGGAATTTTTTAAAAAATAATTAATTTTTTTTCAGAAAATAAGGTGAAACAAACAGATCTAAAATCTATGTATGAGCAAAAATTCTATTTACACAAATATGAGAACAAGAAACTTATTTTCTTTCCTTTTTTTTAATGGAAACTGAAATTCATTGAAAAAGAAACTCATTAAACACTAACTTGTATGCAGTGTATTATATTATACTGATTCATAAAAATATAAAAGAGCGGAGCAAAAGTAGCCGAAACAGCACTGGACCGTACTATTGATGTTCTTGGGGTTGCTCGCTTCGTCATTATCATGGTTAAAGAGGCTGAATTCTTTCTTTTGAGTTCGATAAAGTAGAGTTCAAACCCAACAGTTTCCGAAAGTCTTGGCCTTACTTCCATTTTCTGATTCAGAGATAGCTTTTGGATCCACACAACAAAAGGAAAACAATTAGTCATAACAACATTCTTGATCCATGGGTGCATTATTGGAATTAAACATGGAGGAAACAAGCTATCAACTCCCTCTACTTGCATGCCAAATTTTCCAAAATTGATCCCCAAGTCCAGTTACCATCCAGTTGCTACTTGACACGTCCAGGCGTACTCGCCGGGATACTTTTGAGTAATTCCATGATTTATTAATCAATTTTGGACAATTTTTACCCTCAGAAGAAAACAGGGAAGACAATAAGGAGTAAAAGACTTCACATCTTCAAAATCTTAGAATTTAAGCTCACAGCTTCTATTTTATTACGTATCAGTTAATAAATTTTATTTGATGTAATATTTTTCATATCAACTCAAATCCATCTGCATTTATACATCTTAACAATTTTTCTTGTCAAATGTGAGTCTATGGACTCTATATCAATGATACAAACACTAGGTTTGTGGCGCGCGCACCCCGTGGCTTTAACAAAAATCCAGTGCGCAATATGAGGTTTCAATGTCGCATTTTTTATGCATATACCCACAAAAACTTGGCTATGATATTAGGAATGAAATGATGACAGCTGATGCTTTCAAAATTTGTGTGAACATTGAGAAAAGTTGGTTTCAAAATGATGTATATAAATGGAATGATTCATGAACTCATCACATTAAAATTCTGGATTTAAACGCGGTTTCGTGTTCTCATCTCATATAAGATCAGAGCTTCAACGCTACATCTCCTATGTTAATTTGAGTCTAACGACCCAGTAAGAAAGAAGAGAAAATCAATATACAGAGTGAAAAATTAAAAGCAATTAATTTTGAATAATTCAACAAAGATGTCGGTTTTGATTGGATTAGTCTCAATTCAATCAGCTGTTTTTTATCTGGCCAACAACTAGCTGGGTTGAAAATGGACGAAATTGAGCATCTGAAGTACCTCCCAACAACCTGATGCAACGATGTGTGGCGGAACTCGAACATGTAAAATCACATGGATGTCAATTTCATGATTAAGAGACCCAACGCACACAGGAACTGCATAACATGGATATACTCGATGCGTGTTTGGAGATCAGACAATAGATTAGGCTTATTCAGTAAAAACAAGTGACAATGTATACAAGTATCGCCTCTCACAATAAGGGAGGCATTCTCGGTCTAAAGATGGCACAGAAATTAGTAAAACAGAGTGCCTCTGTTCCGGCTGCGGCGCTTGCTCTAACAATCCTCCTGGGCATAGAAATCAATTATCTCCTTCAGATTGAGGCTCAACAGAGACGAGGAATCGTTGTGCAAGAGCCACAACATGTGCTCGAACAAAATGGCGTCCACGTCCACGAAGATCACCCCTCCTCGCAAATCACTGACCTCCCCTCTCGTCATCGTTTCCATCACAAGCCGAAAAGGGTATTCCTGAAGAACAAAAGGCTCAACCAGAAACACCCTCTTCTCTTTTCCCACGATCACCGTCACGGGACCGTCGGGTTCGTCGAAGCGGTCATGGGCGAGGGGCCGATAGCCTAGGCGGGAACTAGTGGAGCGCCGTCTGATCAAGGTCACCGGCAACACCAAGCAATCCATGACGGAGGTTCGCGGCTGGTGACAGAAGTAGGAAGAAGGCGTTTTTAAATGGAGAGGGTGCGATGCCGATATTGTTGAATAGGCCAACTAACCAGTAACGGAGAGAGACAGGCGGTGCGTGAATTTGTGCTGGCTCTTGCTTAGAAGAAAGTAGCCGTTGGACAGGGACTGCAAAGGACGTGGAAGCGCGTGACGTAGTGGTTGGTTGGGCCGCGAGGGTTGGCGCGTGGGGCAAGGAAGGTTCGGGAATTGCCGTCCACCTCTCGACTGGGTCAAAATCAGAGTACAGTCACGTGTTTGTTTGGCAGCTCGCAGGGGCCGGTCCACATCCCTTCCCAAACAAAGTACAAACCGCTATAGAGTCAACATCCCTGACATCCACAACGGCAATATAATATTAATACTGCCAAGATACTAATTATTCGGAGGGCTATAAAATATTGACAAAATGAACCAACGAGAATTAAATGATATGCATTGATATTTGTTTTCTGCTGTTTCACAATCAAAAAAGATGTTATTAGTCAAATAATTGATTAGAATTTTTACAAGGTATTTTAATTGGGAACATTTGAAAGCCAACTCAATTAAATTTTTAATTTTTAAACGTATGATATGGCTTGTGCATGTGCGTGTGGATAGTTGTATGGAATGAGAAGCATTTATAGGTAAATTAAAGAAAGTGTGATTGAGAAGTTTAAAACGCGTTTAAGGGAGGGGGGTGACAATGAAGACTTAATAAAAGCATAAGGCGTGTTAGCAGCGAGTTATAGTGAGCGTGCGACGCCGTTGAAGGAAGAAATTTGGTGAAGTGGAGGTTGGATGGGACGGGGATGAAACAAAGCAGAAAGGGGTGGGACACTCTAGTACGTGTCCTTGATTGGTACCGCCACGTGCCACCGGGTTGAGTTTTGCATAGAAAGCGTGATTAGTTTCGCAACAGCACGGGAATCGTAAATTAGCGACCACGCCAAGTTTAATGACATTTTTACGCTCCTTCTCTCGCCCTTATCAATTTACTTCTTTGATCTCGGATTCACTCCTTAATTGGTCCACTGCTCAATCATGAGAATACGTGTGAATTCCTGATTGTCCCGAGCTAATGTCGCTAACAATGACACCCTAGCACTAGTTTCAGATTAGCAGTGAGTGACACGAGGTGCTTTCGTTTCATGCGCTGATGCCACGTTGCCATTGATGCCATCTTTTATCATTTTACCCATTGGATTTAGATGCTTCAAGCAAATCAACTAGGAATCCATTGCCAAATTACGTGTTACACAACAGGAGATTTCAACCATTACCACCTTCTTCTTTTTTGGCTAGAGAGAACAAAAAGATAACCGTTAACCAGCAAATGAGCCAGTCCCACACAACAATATACAAGAAAGAAGCAAAAGAAAAGCAACAACTAAAAAGATGCAAGAAAAAGAAAAGATGCAAATGAGGAAAATACACATCAAATCTTAGATAGATTCCACCTTATCTAGGAGCAGAAGTACCATTGGAGATGGGGGACTTTGAGGTCCAGTCCGAAGAGCATGTCCCTTGAGCTATAACTTAAGTAATCCAAATTATAACCCAGTAAAAATATCTTGGAATCCATGGAACGTAACACATGCTTAAAGATTTGCCAATATTTAAAATAAAATTCACAAAGGTTGAACAATTCAACAAAGAACATAATGCTTCATAGCTAACAAATTCAACCAAAGAGAAACAAACAAATAACATCAGGATTAAAAGAGCCCAAAGAGATGCACCAAACTATCTTACATAAGGTAACATAACAGCTCCTAACCCAACCAAACTTTTCCACATAAAAAGTACCAAAATTTTCATTTCATGGAGGTACCAATTTTTAAATCATCCTTGATTCTACCACCAATAAGCTTAAAAAAATTAGCAGAACTAAGAACACACAGCAAAAAGTACTCCTCACAGATAAATCAAAAGACATCTCAACCAGAAGGTTAACTTGATCAAACTCAATATCTATGGTAGTATACTAGTTAAAATAACCAATATTCATCAAAAAAAGTAGGGTTGGAAATAATACACTGTATAGGGAGATCAAATTCCTACCAATACTGGGGTCCTTGCTTGTTCAAAATCAACCATAACCACAATCACCTTGTGCGGCCACCATAGCTCCCCCACCATCTGCTCTAAAAACAATGAGCAGCTAGAGTCCACCATCATCCACATGTTGCCAACACAACTTGGCCACAGCACTTCTGATTCGTCCTTAATCCCCCAAGATTGTGTTGCAGGTTCAAGAATTTCCAACTTCAATTCGTCTTTCTTCATCAATACATCCGGCGGCACCCCTCTCAAGTCCTCTATTGTCTCCAAAGTGTAAAAATCACCAATCCAAAATCTCATCCTGCTAATGCCAGCCTTAACTGATGATCCTTCTTACTTCCAGCACAGATCGTTCGTTCTATAGTCGCCGTCCGTTGAAACCCCCAAACCATCACCGCTACAGATTACTTCTGTCGACTCCCCCACCTTAACCCCTACACACTCCCTACTCAATGAATCGTATGCCAAGAAGAGAGGTCCAAAGACAAAGCCGCAAGGCCATGCCAATAAACTCCCATGCAAAGAAGAGAAGGAACCCGCCATGAAAGAGAGAAGGGTAGAAACCCTGGCGGAGGCATACCTCCGCGATGCTCTCGCGCGTCAACCATTCCACCTTACTCGAACAAGATCTGTTCTATATATTTGAACCCCAGCGTCCTTAGAGTTTCAAAGAGATTTTAGACCATCGAGTCCAAATTACATTAAAGGTGTGTTTGGATTAAAAATTTTAAAATTAAGGTTAGAATTAACTGAGGTTAGCAAATTAAGGTTGAAAGAAATGTCTGTGACTTTAACGTGATTTATGTTTGGATATCTTTTTTCAAAAGTCAGTTAACTGAACTAAAATTTGTTTGGATGATTTGATTCAAAAATCAGTTGAGATATATAATGACAAAAATAGACATCAATTTTTTTTGTATATATTTTTGTAACTAATATGATATTTTTAGGAAAGAATATTAAACTTACAATTAAATTTTTCAGAAAGGTAAAATTAAATTATACAATTTTATTCTTTAAAAGTTAGAATTAAAAAAATTTAAGATAAATGACATATTAAATTTTTTTAAATTTTATAAATGTGTTGCACTGATTTTAAAAAATAAATTACATTGCTACTAACTTAATAAAATTATTGTTTATGATTAGTTTTTTATTCCATTTAATTTAATCATAATTGATTTAATGATTCAATTTGTATAATCTCATTTTTTTTTCTTTCTATTTTTTCCTGAAGCCTTGTGCAAATACTTTATGGTAAGATGAGAGATTGAGAAAGCCAAGAGATATCATGTAAGGACAAGAAAGAGAAAACTCACAAAACAATGAATGCCAACTTCACTTTCTCACGTTACGTTGCTTTAGAAGCTGTATTTTGTGGCTTCAGTTCTAACCCTCGTTTCTTTCCCAACGCTCTTTACAAAATTTTTATAGCCAAACAAGAATAAAATTTTTATAATAAGCTTTTGACACCTCAACTGAAGTTTTGGCCATCCAAACCTCAGTTACGTATTTATCCAAACATGCACTAAGTCTTTCAGAATTAAATCAAAAAGATCAATTCCAGTTACAGACCAGGGAACTACTTTTTAATCCACGCATCCCTTTCAAAATTAAATCAATCGAGGAAAATTTATTCTATATTTTTCTAAAATTAAAATAGCTCCCTTGCACTAGCACGGACTACATAGGATTTGATGATAACAGAACATACCTAACTTGAGCTGGACCTAACCCGCACAAGGGAGATTTTAAGCTCAAGCCTCAAGCAAAGGCAAGTACTGAACATCATCTTTAAACTCAGTCCTCAGTCATCTCCTCCGCTTAGCTATCAACGCTAGCGATGTTTCGATTATGAGCTAAAAAATCCTAGTAAACTGACTTTTCTTTTTTTCCCTGGTATGGATTGAACTGGCTTGAAAAAATATGTAAAAAGAAAAACAGATAAAGGGCTAAAGATAGACTCTATTATGAATTCCGTCTTCAACGCAAGTTAGCATTTCAGTAATCTCGATCCACTGCCACCAACAATTATCACGTAATTACCCTGCCCCTGCGCTGTTTAAAATCTAAGAAAAAAAAATGGTATCATCGCTGCGGAGGATGGCTGGTCCATAGTTGACTCCATGGCATATTACGAATGGGCTGGCTAACACTATTGTAGACTCCAGGCCCAGGCCCAGGCCCAGGCCCAGTCCCAGTCCCAGATGCAGACCCCGACCCCATCTGCAAGGTACTACCGCCGTCGTTGTCTTCATCAGAAGAATCACTTGAAACCCCTTGAGAGGTAGCTCTGGTTGGAGCCACAGATGATGCACCAAAATTTAACAGTTGAGTTCCCGTGGGCGTTGTTGCAGAGGAGGGCCCAGATTCCTCCTTCTTTGAGCTCGTCTGTTTCTTCCCCTCCGCAATAAAGCTACCCAAAATGACCTGTTCATAACAATTAAAACAGTCACACAAAAGCATTGGACACGGAACACTCCCTGGTCCCCATCCTCCACTTTATAAACACAATGCGCTCTGAATGTTAACTCTTTTTTTTTGCCCCGCTACAAGAGGGTTTTCTCCGCCACTGGGAATAATACCTGTATTGGTGATGCTGCAATTAGCATTCCAGAAACACTGCCACCCACAATTCTTCCATCAGCCGCCGCTAGAGCGACGCTCAAACCACCTGTTCTACTACCACCGTCTTCGGATGGATTGAAAGAACCACATATAGATATAATCTCGTATCGACCCTGTAAGGTGAAATGACATTAAATGAAGAAAAGAGGCATCTAAGAACACAAGTTACCAAATGTCTTCAAATGTTATAACCCCCAATCTCAAAAATAGTCATTCAGCAATTCAACTCATGGTAAGTGGTATTTTGTATAACACCAACTTCAAGAGACTAATAAACTAGGTCAGCTGGCCACATCTCCGAGAACAAAAAAAAAAAAAAAAAAACTGATGCGACTATTGAATTTGAACCCATTATTGAACTGCTATGCCGGTGCCAGTTGAGAAAGTGAGGAGAAACATGAGAAACAGAATGAAAGAAACAAAAATGAAAGGGAGAATTCACACATCACATGACATCGTTGACAAATACAAGCGAGGAACCACAAATTCTGAATACTTATCTGGGAAAAGAAACGTTTAACCAAAGACGGGTGAGCATAAATAAGAATTAAATCAAAGCAATAGAATAAATTCTTTTATGATCCCCAGTTGAGTTCTCTCTCTAGACTTCAGGAAGGCCAACAACAAATTGGACTGAAATTTGATAGCTTTGACACAGTTACAATGCACAGTTAGGGGTATTCATGCGTGTTCCCTCCAGGTCAGCCTAGTTTCATCCTAATCATGTTAGACCCGTCCTTAAAAAAAAAAAAAAACGGATAGGATACAGGATCACCATCAGGACATCCCATCCCGTCCTGAATATATTATTATATTTTTTATTTTCTTTTATTAATATTTAATATATTATTTATTCAATTAGAGTCAAAGTATATATTTTTTGTTTATTTATTTTATTTTTTTTACATAACCATCTACTTATTTAATTTATGAAATTCAATAATAATATTGTTATAATATTTGTAGCTTGGAGGTCATTTTTATTCAATAATTACTTGAATTTTTTTTTTTGACTGAAAACATGATTTCATTCTCAAAAGAGATGTTACAAACTAAACAGAAAATTATAGTTGACTTTTGTATATAACCTGGACTAACTTTAAATTGTGGTTGTTTTGATTGTGTTCTTTCACTTTAAATTATAATTGTTGCAATTTAATGATTTAATTTATATACTCATGTTGTTTTGGTTTTGAATTTAGCAAGTTATATAATTTAAAAAAAATATTGTTATCCAACTCTCATTTTCACATTTTGTTTGTTTCATCGGGATGTTCCATTCCCGTCCCAATTACAAATGGGATGAGATGACTTTTAGAACAGGACGGGACATGGGACAAAATTTCAGTCCCGTTCTTTTTTCAGGATCTGACACAAGAAAGGGCTCTCCCGAACCTGTCCGTGAACACCCTCATGCACAGTCGTGACAATACACACAATTCAAAAGGAGAAGATGAATTGTCCAGAACACAAGGCTGACCAAATTGTGCTCGCACAATTTGCCCACTTCCAATCTGAGACCAAAAACCACTAGTCTTTGACACTGATCCAGGCACAAAAAACAGCCACCAAGACAATTTGAGTTTCACCCCTGCTTCAATCTCTAAAACTTACGTTATATCACCTGTCACTGCTTCCATGGATGCTTTTATAAAAACACCACTTTTACCAGCACAAAACTCTTCCTTCCCAAAGTACTGTTGTTTTTTTTTAATCAACTCAAATTCCTGTTGTTACTATTAGTGGTTCACTCTAATTAACCAAATGAATGCAGCAATTGATTATATTCAGATTTACTGTGCCAAGAAGGATGCTGTGATTTCATAAGATGTAGACCGGAAAAGGTCCACTTCATTTAGTTTTACATTTATAAATGTCAATGCAATAAAAAAATAGATATATAAATAATGACTTCAGATGGTTGATTTGGATTCCTATCAATCCAAGGATACCTAAGGAAATAATACCATTAGCAAAATAACTTCTTTTTTTTCCCAGAAACAGTTTCTTTAGGGCACTTGAAAATGTATCCAGCAACATCTCTACCACACCACAGAAAACGGCATGTAATAGAGAAACTAAGAGATAGTTCAAAAGTATAAAGGTAAGAATAAAATCTATTCTCAGGTGACATTCCAGAAAGTAGACGGTTTCCCACCACCAAAAACCGCAACAATCAACATAATTCTAATGGTGTCCACTTTTGATCTCAAAAAACGTGTTTCTATTTTAAGTGGAGCAAACCAAAAAATAATAATAATTGCGTTCTTGAAATATAACATATGCCTGTAATTTCATGTTCCATTCTTCAAGGAATGTGTATATTATTGTTAAATACACACTACATTAGATCATTTTCTCATATCATATATACCAATTTTTTGGCCTGAAAATAGCATGCCTTGTAGTGAGGAATTGAATATTTAATGCATTCTGGAAGAATATAAGATATACCTCGTAATACACTGTACCACCAGCCGTAGCTGGCTGTCGAATGGTGGCATTGCAGATTGCACCATTAGCAGAAAGAATGAAGACTGAACGTGACCCTTCTTCACAAAAGGCCATAATCTTTGCTCCAATGTCCTACAAACAAAAGGAGCATGACAATGAGGAGATTTGTGAAGAGAGCAACCCCAAGCATAAACATGCATGAAAACATGATAGGTTTCAGAAAACCAATCTTCAATCATATTTTTTCAACCACATCGTCACCATTTAAAAGAGGCAAATGAAAATAAAAGTATTGGTATGTTAATTCTACTATCCCTCACTTTCAGATTGTGGCAAAAGGCATATCATAGATGGAATATGTGCATCCAAATACATGACAGAAGTTTAAAAAAGCTTTATTAATCTACACTGCACAATGATAAAGCCAGAAAGCATTACAAACCTATACATGTCATAAATAATCAAAATAACCAATATTGATCAATAACTTGAGCAAGACCAAAAATGATTGAACAGTGATGCTAATATAGGAAATTTCAAGTAATTAAATATGGACAGCTTAAATCTGATGGTTAGAATAAAAAAAAAAAAAAAAAACTCTGCATAAAAAATCCATTCTACATGCAATTTAAGGCGATCCCTTCTAGTCCAACAATTCTATAAGTCGGAAACAAAAATATTGTTTTAGCATCATTTGAACCTTTGAATGCTAGTTGGACCAAAATCTTGAAAATGTTCTGCCACAGAAAATCTAAAAGAATAAAAAGGTTCAAATTATAAGTCACAGTCAAAAAATTTGAATTATGGTTGTTTATATTATCATAGCTCCATAAAAATTCCAATATTGTTTTTAAAATTTTGAAAATCTACCCTTTATATCCCCTGGAAACTCACAAAAAAAAAAAAAAGAAAGAAAGAAAGGTTAACATATAGCGATGTTTTCCCAATTTGACACCATGAATTCAGGACCACTATATCCAATTACCAAAATTTGGGCTTAACTAATCTCAATTCGTTAACTTTGGTCCCTTTCAGACACTAAGACTAATTACCGTATCTTTCAATTATGAGGACGCTGAACATTTCGAAGGATTACCAACAAATGCATGACTGAGTTTAGCAGTAATGCCGGCAGGTAAAAGATTGTAAACATGGTAATTCTTGCAAGAGAAATGGGTAATCATCGACCAGTATAACTACTCTTTTCGCGTACCTCCCCGGTTTTCACCAAGAGTACATGTGGAGTAAAGCATGTCCCGCCAGCTCCTGGTATGGTTAGAACAGGCAAAGTTCTCAATCAGATCAACAAAAAGAATGTGAAAGAACACGGTGCAAGAAACGAACGCTCGAATAATATATAACACATACCAAGAGCATCCATTTGCTTCTTTCCAGAGCCCGGCGGCCTTCCCCTGCTCTTTTTAGCTGGTGGTTCCCCGGACGGCGAGGCACTCAAATCACCGGGGCCAGAAGAAGACAAAGGCGTAGGAGCCAATCCCAAAGCAATGCTACCATCCGGCGAATACTTCCTGGGCCGGCCTCTCTTCCTCTTCGGAGAATCAATACTCAGCCCGCCGGGCCTATACGCAGAGGAACCTTCGTAAGGAGAAGTGAGTTCGGAAGCCTTCGGTGGAGGCGGAGGAGGCGGAGGAGGAGGAATACGGGATTGTGTTACAATTGCGGTGAAGGGTAATCGGGCGGTGGCAGGGGCCAACAGCATGTGCGAAGAATTGGGGCTGATCATGGAAGAAGGGACGGGGCTGGGCATGGGGGAGGAAAAAGAACGAGGAGGTACCATAATGCTTGGTAGCGCTGGCGAAGGTTGCTGTTGCGAGCGTGGCGGTGGCTGAGGTGGCTCCCGAGAATCCATTGCAGCAGATCAAGAGAGAAAAGTCGATAGGAAATAAGAGATTTTGGAGACTTCCGTAAGCGGATGCTTGAATTGCGCGAAATGGCCGCAAATGCAGCTTCTTGGGATTCACTTAGTTATCTTCTTCAAACCTACTTTCAGAGAAGAGAGGTGGGGAGGGAATGGGACTCGGAGAGAAAGACAATGAGTAATTGAGTATGCACTGGACTAGTCAAAATAACTAGGAATGACAAGCGGAGCCGGAATTCTTTACAACTTTTTTCCCAGGGTCATAATTTAGGGTTTTAATATTCCTTTTTTTAATGTTTTTTTTTAATGCATAGAATCTTGAAAATTGAACTCTCCCCGTAAATATTCGCATACGAAATGTGATTTAGAAAACAAAAGATAGGAGCAGGATCCGTCTCACCTCTATTTTTATTCCTCTCCGTCTGGACTTCTCTTACCATCCCATTTTTAGTTTGATAAAATTGGAAGTCAATGATCAAAACTAAATAATGTACTATAATTTTTATCAAGTAATTATTTATTGATGAGGATACACAATTCAGTCCTATTTGTTCTTATCACACACATTCCACGTCTCAAGAATCAAGATGAATCCCGAATAATGCACCAAATCCATTCTAATAACCCGCATGGGAAAACAGAAATAGTAATTCATAATGTTTAGTTAAATTAAGTCATGATAGAAAAATCTAGCGGCATTCTTATTTTTCAATTTTCAATTAAAAAAAACTATGCTAATATGAGACAGCATCCTCCAGATCATGTCATTTTCACCTTAAAATCAAAATAGTTGGTTTTTTCGTTTGGACTTTGTAGAGAGCACAGGAACTGAGGAAAGTTGATCCAGTTGGGGACCTCTCTCAAGTACTGGGATGCATGTTTGTCTTTAAATTTGAAAATTGATGCAACAGAACCGAACCCATCGCCGCGGTGGACCCAAACTATTTGTACTTTTTTCGATTCTCAAGATTTTTGTGATGGCAATCAGCCGAAGCCATGTTGCTTTCACACTTGGCACCTGCCAAACATCCTCACTTCTATTTCCATGCACTTCAATATCGCCCTTCTTGTTTGGTTGGACAATGCCACAATCCCACTTTCCTGACTTTAATCGATTATTTCAGCAAAGTCAAATTTCCGGGGAAAAAAAAAACCAACGTTATCTACAATTATAAATGAGCTCGAGAACTGAAAGTAGGTGAAGCAACATTATATTAAAAGCAGTTATTTTGAGCTAATCTGTTTACTATGATATACATAAATTTCAAACCCTTATTTTAAAAGAAAGGGGCAAGAAAAAAAAGGCTGAAAGTGATACTATATATCGCTGTCATCAGGAACCTCACTGGCCAAGTATTATGTCAGGATTCACGAGAATCTTACTTGGAATCTCACATAACAAGCATTCTGTGCTCAAATTCACGTCTTGGACTTATAGTCAATTTCTTTGTTGGTTGCACTAATTTAAGGTATCAGCTGCCTTTCAACTACATAATATTCTCGTTTAAATAAGTTCATGCGTGTCTCTTCAGTCTTCAAGAGTTACATCCTACAAGAGCCATAACCACGCTCAAATATTACTAATTGAAAATTGAATCTGAGTTTAATTGTACACCCAGTTCATTCATTTAAATTTATTTAATTGCAATCGAGACAAAGAAAATAGTCATTCACTGCCAAAATCACGTATCGATTTAAACATGATAAACAATCAAATGGCACTATAGCGAATTTCGCACTTGAAATATTCACCCAAAAGAATTGACACTTGAGTATAATTAACGAAGGTATTCATTTTATATTCGTCAAGGAAAGTGATTTTCTTTTTTTGTAATTGAATAATATATTTCCTAAACTATAGTTTGGATAATATCATAAACCCTAAACTCATGTATTCATTAGTACAAAATAAGCTACTTAACCCACTTTTTTAAACCAGTTCCTACACATAAGGTTTAGAAAGTGGTGGTGGCGGCATTTTTATAAATAAATTGAAGTTTGACAAACTTTCTAAACTAGATCCTTTCGTAATCGATCTAAATAATACTTTCTAAACTAGTTCACATTATAACCAGCCTAGATCTAATTGTTCTAAATTGTTCACTTTATAATTGGTCTAGATCTAATGACATTTTTGTAATTAAGTAAGCATGATGTTACAGCAGTCTTTCACACATTCTCTCATGTCCATCATCACTGTCAAGTTCTCTCCCGTGAATCTTAGATTGTCCTGACCCAAATCACCGACTCCTCTCATATGCTCCAACCTATAACTCGTTGCCCTATCCTCCTCTTCACTTTGCCAATCCCTTTCCTCCTCTTCGTGTGTGATGCATTAACTTCTATTGCTTTACTTCCCACTCATCCTTTTTGGAGATTGTGGCTGCTCATCTCCACCGTCTCTTTTAGAAATTGCATTCCTTTAGCCATCCACAAAGTAGTTGTCCTTTGTGGAACAAAGCCTTTGTTAGTCCATTGGAATGCCATCCATAGGTTCTCTGCCTTGTCTACTATCATCCATGAATCTCTCTTTCCAATAATGAATTATGGTTTTTTCTGGGAAATCAAACCTTATGGATTTTAGATTATGAGGGGAAGCCTTTCCGATTAATTGGCGAAAATGTGGGCTTGCATGCAAGGCTTAATATCTAGTTTTGATGTTTTACACTTCAAATTTAGATATGAACTGTGTGTGGAAAAGCATATCAAGTGTAATTTTATAGTAGTTGTTTGTGTTCCTAGTTTTTCTCTTTATTTAATTTAGTCTTACAATGGTAGAGTGAAAGTATGGTGTGTGTATTTTACCCATTACGTATTTACCATTAGGAAAACTGCATGTAAAGCATTTGTCATATATTTGTGAGTTGATTCATAATAAGAAATTGAAGTTTACTTATTGATAAATTATTGTTGTGTACTAAATTGTTTTGATATGAATCTGAATGCAACTATTAAGGTATGTGCATCAAATCTAGTAAATTCATTTCTAATCTCTGCATGAGATGCATCCTTGGGACTTGGGGAGGCTTTTTCTCAAATTATTGTTGAAGACTAAACTATCCATGTTTACATATGAATTAAGCTTAACTTTGCATGTTTAACCGTTTATGAGCTTACCTTAGCTTTCCTACTATCTTTTCTTATCTCTCTCTTTTCACCCTTAGTAAGTAAAGTTATGCTTCTTGGATAAGCAAATTATTTTTTTATATCGACATTATTATTATTTAGATTTATCTAATAGTTAAAGAGGATTGTACATTTTTTTTTAATCTTTAAAGGGTTAAAGCATAAAAATACCTACTAAGTGGTCGACATAGAGTATCCAGTAGTCTAAAGTGAGAAAAAGAATAAAAATACTCATAGCATTACTATAGTTGGTGTAAAAGTAATTAAACCATTAACTTTGCTCTAATGCCATTAGTTTCCAATGTTAATTGCTGACGGTGCTTGTCACGTGTTAGTATTTACTGATATGGACTAAAAAAGAGGTAAAAATTCCCACGAAGTAGTTAATCAAAAACATCTGGTAGTCTAAAGTGAGAAAAAGATAAAAATACCCATAACATTACCAACGTTGGTGCAAAAGTGACTAATTCAAATGTTGATTGTTTAGTTGACACCTAAGGAGAAGTTGACTATTTTTTCATTGATTTAGATAAAAAAACATTTTTAAGTGTAATTCTATAGAGGTTGATTGGTTATCATATAAATATCATGTGGGAAAATATCATTTGGACCGTTCTAGTAGTGGCGAAGATCATTTGAGAATTTTGAACCTATCATGAATGAAATTGCTTAAAGTTGTAACAATATTCTCAAATTAGGTGACGTAAGAGGTCTGTTTAGTCTCGATATTCGATTGTGTATAACATATCTCACTGTGTTGAATCTCAAGTTTTGCAGATAAGAAAGTGGAGAGGGAGGGAGGAAGGAGGATGAGCAAAAAAAAATAAGATTTGGTAAGATATGTCATTGATCAACCTTCGTAGAAATTAACCTGGAAATATTTTTTATCTATGTTAGTGAAAAAATAGTTAACTTCTGCTTAAGCATCAGCTAAACAGACAATATTTAAGGGATTTGATGAATTGGTTATTTTTGCACTAACTTCAATAATGTTAAAAGAATTTTTGCCCTTTTTCTCATGTCAGGCTATTAGATGCTCCTAGTAAACAACTTTGTGGGTATTTTTGCCTCTTTTTTAGTCCACATTAGTAAAGACTCACACATAACAAGTACAGTCAGCATTTAATATTGAAAACCAATAACATTAAGGCAAAGTTAATAGTTTAGTCACTTTTGCACTAACTCTAATAACATTATGAGTATTTTTACCTTTTTTCTTACTTTAGGCCATTACATGCTCCTGGCCGACCACTTGATAGGTATTTTTATACCTTAACCCATCCTTAAATAACATCATATTTGAAAGAACAAAAAATTGCACTATAGATTAAATCATGGAAAACTACCACTACATATATTTAGGTAAGATCATATATATACATATAATATGTAAGTATGTTTGTTTACATATAATTAAAATATGCTTGGTTAGCTTATGGCAATTTCCTAAGTGTTCCTTATAAGCGTGGCAAAAGGAAATTATGTACTTACACTAAAAAGATATGCTAAAGCAACCTCTAGTATAATACATCAAAAAAGCATCACACGCATACACTTATATATTCCTACTTTTCTAATATCTGATTATGCTTATTAGGCAAGTTTGGAGGCATCATCTGCATTGGAGTTGGCAACATATAGTAAGGAGGCAAGGGTAAAGCCATAAACAGAGGTGGTGATTGCATAAGTAGTGGCAGTGGTAGCATGAAGAACGATGACGGTGGCAGCAAAGTAGGTGAGGGGGTGGCTAAGGTCAATGTAGGTGAGGGTACGAATAGTGGTGGGAAAAGTGAAGGGTGTGATGAATAAGCCCAATCGGAATAGGCTTGAACCCAAACAAGCTTAACTTCCTGAAAAGCTTGAATAGCCAAGCCCAACTCAAATTCCTTCGAACTTCGGGCAGTCCAAATACCTAAATTTTATTTTTAAAATTATTTTTAATTAATTTTTCACTTTAAAATTACTTATTTTATTTTATAAGAAATATAAAATGTATTTTTTATACTTAAATGATGTATGGAACTCAAATACATGATTTTTTTAGTGTAAAATGACATAAAAATTAAAGAATTAATTAATATTTATTATATTTTA